GTAGGCAAAGACAGAGGTTGACTGAGATGGAAATCTGACACAACTTTGGGTAGGAATGAAACGTCAGGGTATAACTGAACCTTGTCCTTGAAAAATTGTAAAAAGGGATTGTCAGAACGTAATGCAGCGAGTTCACTAACTCGTCTTGCTGACGTAACAGCTATTAAAAACAATGTCTTAAAAGATAACAACTTAAGGTCACATGTGGCCATAGGTTCAAAAGGAGGACGGGTAAGGGCCCGGAGAACTAACTGTAGAGGCCACTGCGGCAACGGCGGTTTCACAGGAGGCCGTAGGTTAGAAAGTCCCTTTAGGAAGGATTTAACCATAGGATGAGAAAAAAGTTTCGCCGAAGCAGAATTCCTGGGTTGGAATGATACTATGGCGGCCAGATAAACCTTGATTGTAGAAAGGGATAAGTGGAAGTCGAAGAGATAACGTAAGTACAATAACAACGTGGAAAGAGACACAGGGGACGACACAAGCCCCTTGTCTTCCATAAACTTAACAAACCCTTTCCATTTATGAGAGTAGAGCTTATTCGTGGATGGCTTTTTTGCATGGTCTAGCACCTCTTTGATCGGGGGTAGATCCTCCACGCTTTCAACTGCAATGTTTCTATGTCTGGATGAAGTACCGTCCCTGCATCCTGTGTCAAGAGGTCTGGAATCGGAGGTAACCTCTTGGACTCGATGGACATGCTTGTCAATGTTGGAAACCATGCTTGACGCGGCCAATAAGGGGCTATAATTCAAGGGGCATTCAAATGTCGAAGCCTCACCAGAGTTCTCTGTATTAATGGCATGGGTGGGAAGGCATAAAGGAGACCCAGATTCCAGTGAATCATAAAGGCGTCTCCTAGAGAGTTCTTGCCAATCCCGGCTCTGGACGCATAAGTTGTGCACTTGGCGTTGAACTCCGAGGCGAAAAGATCTACAGAAGGAGTCCCCCAAAGGTAACAGAGGTCGCGGAACACCTGTTGGTTGAGTTCCCATTTGTGCATCTGATATGGGAGGCGGCTGAGGCGATCTGCCAGTGTGTTGTCCGTCGTCGACACGTGTATAGCTACTGGGAAAATCTGATGGAGGTAACACCATTCCCAAAGGTGTATGGTGAGATACAGCAGAGACTGGGAGCGGGTCCCTCCCTGTTTGTTGATATAGTGCAGGGTCGTGGTGTTGTCTGTTATTACTTGAACACCACGACCCTGTACCATAGGAAGGAACGCCCGTAATGCCTTGATGACCGCCAGCATCTCTAGGTGGTTGATATGAAGCCTCAGTTCCCGAGGAGACCAGAGGCCATGTATTTTGTGGGTCTTTGCTTGGTGGGAAGTTGTCCCAAATTGGTTGCAGTGACACCTGGCCTCGCCCAATTTGCTTTGGCGCCCGTCTTGCGCCGTTCGCCTGTGGCTGGAATGCGGCTCCTGAGACCCTCTCAGAGAGTGGGAATTCATTCCCCAATACGCGTGCACACCCCCAAGGCCAAAGAAAAGCTACTATCCTTGTTTTATTCAATAAGAAAACAATGTTGTCATTGTATTCGTGAAGGCTTTCACGGCCGGGTTCTAATGGTTGTTGTGGGTTTTTCGGGCTCTTTGGCCGTGTTCTGGAAGTTGTTCTTCCTGACGTTTCGCCAGTCTCTGTGGCCAGCATATTCCAGTCCTCTGAAGATGCCGGCCACAGAGATGGGCGAAACATTAGGAAGAACAACCTTCAGACCACGGCCAAAGAGCCCGAAAAACACACAACAACCAACGTTGTCATTTTCTGGGAGAGGTCACCTGATGCGTATCGGTTGCTGATGAATTAAGTCCACAGACCTCTCTTGGTTGTCCTTGGGTGTAGCTGGATCACTTCCCTTTAGTCCTGCAAATTCATAGAGTTGGAAGGGGGCTATAAGGTCCAACCCCCTCCTCAAGGCAGGAGCCGCATGCCTAGTTGCTAGCCTTTGATACCTCGACACCGTCTGAGCCTCCTCATAAAAATTCAAGAAGGGTTGTCTAAATTCCTCGTGAATTAGTTTGAGGCCAGGCAAGATTTTCATCCAAAGTTGCTTTTGGTAAGCACTGAGAGCAGTGTGGTAGTTAATAACTTTCAACAAGAAGGCGACAAGAGAGTAAATCTTCCTTCCAATGACTTCTAATTTCTTACCCTCCTTATTTGTCGGTGTAACATGCGATTTACCAGTAGGTCTAGTGCAACTAGTTTCTACAACCAAAGAGTTTGGAATTGGATGTTTGAGGAGAAATTTAGTATCGGGCCCATGTACCCTGTAGAAGTTCTCGGTACGGCGAGGTAATGGAGGCGTATTAGCCGGTTGTTCCCAGCATTCCTTAATTATGTCCATAATCACCGGGACAAAATTTAAGCTAGGTGGCGGAGACTTCTCCTTTATGTCTCCAAAAATGAGGTCTTCTGCAGGGAGTGTAGGTTGGTCAAGTTCTAACTTTAGGGCTCGAGCCAGTCTTCCCAACATCTGAGAGTAGGATGAAAAGTCCTCTGATGGAGAAGAGCCGTTAGCATCACCGATGTCAGACCCAACCACTTCTCCCTCAGGCAAGGGGGGCAGGGACAGGTGGCACTGGTAAATCTTGGTCAGAGTCAGAAGAAAGGACCGAGGAAGCCTCATCGGGGTCCGATGAAAAAACGTCTCTTTTATGTTTTCGGGGCGGTTTTTCGACCCCGACGATGTGGGCCGACGTCGACGGCTGTACAGGAGGAGCAGTAACAGGGGGAGCTGTAGGCTGGACGGGCTCCGGCAACTGCGGCTGCGGTGGTGCAGGCGTCTTGGCACCGACCCCCCGACGTCGATGTCGGCATCGATAATGCACCTCGGGAGAGCTCGAGGAAGATGAGATGTAAATATATTTAATCTTCCTATGCTTCTTCCGACGCGGCTCTGTTGATGTCGATGAAGACGTCGAAGAACTGGATCGGCGTCGACGTCGACGATGACGATGTTTGCGAACCGAGTCGGAGTCGTTCGACGAGGAGGGGCTCCGTCGACGCCGGCACTTGTCTCGCCGTCGGTTGGATGGGCTGCGCTTCCTCTTCGAGGAACGCTTCTTTCTAGGTGATTTCGACCTCGAAGGTGCCGACAAGGTCGAAGGAGCCGGAGATCCCCGCCCATGAGAGGATGGGCTGTTAGGGGCAGACGTCAAACCCGCTGTAACACTAGCGAGTTGACTCGGCGTCGGAGAGGGTTCTCCGCGCGGCAAAGTCGGCTCTGCTTGTCGAGGAGGCAGAGAGGGTGCTGTCTCCGACAAGAAATCTCGATCCCGAGATGAGTCCTCTAAGATAGGCGATGGTAGAGACTGCGATATTGGAGGGAGCTGAGCAGTTGTATCTTTAGATTTTTCAGACGCCTTTGCTTTTTGTTTTACAGGCATCGAGGAGGAACTCGTTTTGGCTTTTGCCGATGATTTTTTTGAAGGGATCGTCTTTTTCTGCTGTACAGCCTTGGATGGTGCAGGCTGTGAAAAGACGCTCGCCTCAGACAGGAGAGCTGTCGATGGTGAGGCCATTTCGGAATCTGTCGGTTTAGTGGCTGTGAGGGTTGATTCCCACAGATGGAATTTAAGCCGCTGCTGCCTTGCTTTAAGCGCCGCCTTGGTAAAAGTTTTGCAATGGCGGCAAGACTTCGTCTGGTGGGCTTCACCCAGACAAAAAAGGCAGCGGTCGTGTGGATCTTGATAGGGAATCTTCCTATCGCAGTCCACACAACGGCTAAAGGGCCCAGAAGGCATAGGCTAGATTAATGGCCGTTGCGCTAAGGGAGAAAAGAGCGGGAAAATATAGAAGCCACTCTATTGAAGGGAAAACCGGATCGGATGGTCCAAAAAAAAAGCAGTCCGAGTCAAGGGGCACAGCAGTAGACAGAATCAAAGAACAGTCTGGGTCAAACCGTGGTAGTTTTGCACGAAATAGAAAAAGAATGGAGCTCGAAACGAGAGGTCCCAACCGCAACGCGGAAAAATGGAACTAAGGCTCGGGTGGGCGGAGCATGCGCAGTGTAGGCAGCCCTACAATTGTTACATTTCTCTTACAGCTCGAGAATATTCCGAGAGGACCAACACTGGCGCTTGGTTAACCCTTTTGTGTGCATTCACGGAAGACCACGATGAAGAACAATGATTTAGAAATTCAGAAAACACCTCATGCAGCCAAATTACTTATGTAGGAAATAAAGTGCAATTTAGTAATAATAGGAAATTGAGTGAATGGCATTTGGGAAAATCATGAGAGCCTCCCTTTTCACTATTGAGCTCTTTGAGGATATACTCAGTTTGTACACAGCAGAAGAATAATTTTGGCAAAAACCAAAATAGCATTAATCATAAAAGCAGCAGTGAAACATAACTGAAAAACTACAGGTACAAATAATTGTTTTCCCACAAATGGGGTAGACTTTGCCTAACATCCAAAAAGAAAGTTAAGATGGACTGAGGTGAACAGAACCCCTTCTTAATATCTAGAAGTAGAAAATGACATCTTTAGATAATTTCCTTTAAGACGGAAGTAGGCATTAACCAAGTCTGATTTAAAAACTCCATTCACACAGCCTGACTGACTGGCTGCTTGAGTGGGTTTTTTAATGGATTGTTGTACCTTACTGCTTTGAATGTGCTTTTGGTGTTGCTTTTGCTTAAAGTTTTATAAAGTGGTATTTGATCCTTTTTAGTATTTGTGTATTTATTGTTTTAACTTCCTATATTGACTTGTAATGATCTAAACTACCTTGGGTCTTTTTTAAGGAGAAGGTGGGATAAAAATATTTTAAATAAATAAATAGTCAAACTGGAATATTTAGTAGACCCCATTTCATATTCTTTTCACTTAGAGAGACAGATGATATAAAGGCTCTTCTTAGGCTGACACATACCAACTCACTATATTTTTCTGTGTATACGGCAATACTTTTGTCTAAAATCTTTAGACTTAAAATTTAGGGTCGTCTTATACACGGAAGTGAGCTGAGGAGAGAACCACGCAATTGCAAAACTGCCCATACCTTGCTGCTGCAAACAGGCTTGCTTCAATCACGAGGCTTAGTTTCCTACAATCACGAGCCTTAGCTTCCTCCTATCATGAGCCTTATGTAACTGACATCAGCTGATGTTCAATAAACAAATTGAAACACATCTTGTTGGAGGTGGAGCATGTAGGCAGTACTCAGATGCAACAGGGTAATGTCGGAGCATTCTGAGCCCAGAGGCTGAATAAAGTGATATACAGTGGTGCCTCACTTAACAGGCACCCCGTTTAACGTCAAAATCGCATGGCGACGAAGATTTTGCAATCGCTTTTGCGATTGCATTGTGATGTTTTAAATAGGGAAAAATCACTTTGCGATAATCGGTACTGTTTTGCTTACCGATCATCGCATAGCGATGATTTTTTAACAGCTGATCGACGGTTCCAAAATGGCCGCCGGGTAAAAAAATGGCTGCCTGCTATTTTCTGGGACGGATTCCTCGCTTACCAGGCAGCGAAAATGGCCGCCGTATGGAGGATTTTCGCTTTAAGATGAGTTTTAAGCCCATAGGAATGCATTGAAGGGGTTTCAATGCATTCTTATGGGCTTTTTTATATCGCATAACGACGAAATCGCTTTGCAGCGATTTTTGCTGCACGGATTATCGTCACTATGCGAGGCACCACTGTACTCAAAGCTAAGTGTGAGGCATAATATGGTATGCATAATATGGTACTGGTATGTAAATATTACCTAATTACTAAATAAAAATGCATTATGTTTTAAGTTTAAAACATTTATTTCTTAATTTGGGGTTAGAAAAGTGTGTGTGGGGGTCTTATACATGAGGCATGTTATATATGGCAAAATATAGTAACATTTTGACAACCTGAGGACAATGGCAGGCTCAGAGATTACATACTTGCTTCAGCTGTAAACCCAACAACTTCTTCACTCCAGTCACTCCAATATCCTTCATATTCGTTACCCCTGTATTCTATTTGAGCAAAATTAATTGCACAACGTAACTGAAACACATATTTTGTATATGGCTTGAGTTCCTGGATAGTGAAGGAAGTTCTCTGTGAATCTGTGTCTTCAGGGGGAACCTGTGAAAATGAAACAGGACTTTGAAGAGTGCTATTAATAAAGGAACAAGACAGAGAACAGACAGAAATGTCTAAAATTTTGGATCAGCTTATTAGTACAAATTCCCCCTTGTAGAACATTTGTTTTACTAACATTCCTAATTTTTCACTTTCTTTAGCTATATGAGTTTCCTAACACTTAGCTACAACATCAAGACATGTGCAAACATATACTTACAACCTTATTTGAGAATTCCCTCTTCGTGTTTTTTTAAACAAAGCACTTGAAAACATAAAAAGGTATAACCCCTTTTAGCTTTACTTTCTAAGGACAGAAGATACAATTCAATCCTAAGGATATTTACTCAAACATCTCATTGTTTGCACTGAGGCACACTATTAGTAAAATATGCAGAACTGTTGAAATATTTCATTTTGCAGTATTATTGAAGGACTAATATAGTAAATACAGGTATTAACTTTGAAGATGCCTCTCACTGGCTAGCTGAATAGCTCAGAGAGTTGGAGCATGGACGTTGGGAGTTTGATTCCTCAGTGTGTTTTCCAGGGAGATTAGCCAGTCTGTATGGCGTTGGACAAGCTGGAGGATGCCAGATGTCCCCTGATAAGAGGCTGGTAAGCCACCTCTATTTTGTATCTCAAAAGCCTTGAGAAGTGTTGCATTAAGCTAGAATTAAGTGGATGGCACACAGTTTTAAAAATGGTTGTTGCTGTTACTATTCTTAATATTAATACTCTTCCTCTCACTTCAGGTTCAAAATATGTTTCATAATATATATGTCACACAGCGGATTCTTTTACATATTACATCTGATACAGATTTTAGTCACAAAATGTTTCCCAAATACAGTGGTGCCTCACAAGACGAATGCAATTCGTTCCATGAGAATTGCTGTCTCGTGAAAAAATCATCTTGATGGATGAAATGTATTCGTCTTGCGAGGCATCAGTCTCGGGGGAAAAAAAGTCTTGCGAAGCATGGCCATAGAAGAAACCGTCTTGCGAGGCACCATAGTGATCGCAAAAACAATAGTCTTGCAGGTTTTTTGTCCCGCGAGGCATTCGTCTTGCGAGGCACCACTGTATTCCATTAAACACACAAAGAAGATATCGAAAAGTGTCACTGGTATACCTTCTGAGATGTAAGAAAAATCCCCCCGCCCATTTTGAGTGGCTATTTAGACCACAATCCTGGACAGAGTATGTCTGTAAATGAAGCTGTGTGCTGATACAGTATTTACTCCTTGGACATTTCATAAACAAGTAAGCAGAGAGGATCACATATGCCCCTGATGGACTGCTAAAAGCACTGGAAGGCCACTTCTGTTTTTAAAAATTGAAATAAAAGTTTTGGCTGCCATGTAAGGAACTCTTTGAAACTTATCTACCAGTATCTCATCAAAGGGGAGATGGTATAACACTGTCCTGTCTGACCTCAGAGACAGAAACATACAAATTTTCCTTATGCTGAATCAGCTCATCTATCCATTTAAGTAGTATATTTCATGCATGTTTCTTTCCCAGCCCCACGTGAGACTCACTGCATGCTAAGGATATCCTTTAATACTGAGCTACTGACCACCATGTTCATTTCTTTCTTTCCTTTTTCTGTACTACTACCATACCATCCTGTTCCCAAATTTGTAAAAACTGATAGAAACAGCAACTTTTTAAAAGTTTAGAGAAAAGAACTGTAGATCACAGGAGTGAATTCAAAGTCCAATGTCTCACTACTTAGATTTTACATTGACCTCCCCCCGGATTCAGCACCATGTTAACTAACTAGTATTAACTTACAGATACTGACCACTTTGAAATTATTCAAGAAGGCTCTACAACAGAGGGCCCTGAAATGTGACTCCTATTCTCCTAGCAAACATCTTCAAATTTAGGGACACAGTCCAGCAATATCTAAAGGTCATACCTTGTCCATCCTTGCCTACAAGCTCCTAAGCAGTTTATTGTCTTTGTGAGTGATTTTCAAATATCATAGTAATATTTCCAGTTTCTGCATCATATTTCATAACAAGGATTTTTCCATTTGTATTTTACTGATATTTTCTTCAAATTTTTAATGGAACACACGTCTTTCCCTTATTTAAATCAACATCATTCCAGTATATAAGGTGTAAACATTCCTACTTTTAAGACACAGCAACAATATAACCGGGCCCGCCCCCCATAGAATAGAATATTGTGTACAAATATCTACCTCAGTCCAACTTGTGCTGTCAACAGTCTTATATCGAATTTTGTATTTCAGAACCAGTGGTTGCTTATCAAGTCTGTTGATCCATGTTAATTTCAGGACTGTAGGTAATTCTCCTGAGTTCACAGATAGATTACTTGGAGGTAGAGGTTTTACTAAGAAAAGAAGAAAAGTATGCAATAAACCTGATGTCCTTCTATTGTTCAACAACACTGGCTTCAAGCAATGTTCTAGGCATACAAAACTGATGTTCACCTTCCAAAATGGGTTTAATTGGCTTAAAGAGGCTTTTTTCTGGAATGGTTGTACAATAACTGAATCATAGCAAGCCTAAATGTGGGGATTATAAACAGACGTTCTGGTAAATCAGATATCATCTGCAGGGATAATTTTTCTCTCTCCTTGGTTTTAAGAAAGATACCATTAAATTATTCTAAGTTTACATTTAACTGTTCTGAGAAAACTATGTGGTAAGAAACTTTCCAAATGTGAAAAACACAACATACATTGACTATCCACCTTTCAAGATAATAGGCAAATAAATGCAGTTATATTTATAGGTTACCTTTCAACAGAGGAGAAACATAGAACCAAGAGTCTTTTTGTAATGTAAAAGCTAACATGCTTTACTGATAAAAAGCTTTTGTGGACTGCAGGCAATATCTAAGAGTAATGGCACTGAAAGCTGGAAAAGGGTCTCTCAATATGTTTATTTCCAAGCAGGTGCTAATCTATTAATCACCCAAATGTCCAGAATGACGTGGAAGCCAGTTATTTCAACACTGAGAAAATGTAACCAATACATATAGTTCATTTCAATAACCTAGCTATAGCACTTTCAGCCAGTGTGAGTTTACAGAATGCCTTTGAAAAATATCCTCACACATAATGGCCCAAATTCTGTTGCTACACTGGACTATATCCACTGAATCAGTGCAGATTTGGCGATTCAACTGCTCCACTAATTCAAACAGGCCTACTCTAAGCAACATTATTTTGTTCAATATACAATAATGACTGAAATCCTATTAAGGCAATTTTATGCTATGTATCTAAGAAAATGTCATCAGACAGTGACAGCAATATTTAATTAAATGCAACTGAAAACGTCCTATTCCCCCCTTCTTCTTATTTTCAGGTTCTGAGGCTCCCCAGGGCTGATCTACTGGTGACTCAGTGGTTACGTCTGACTATTAAAGGCTTCCTCCACCTCCCATGGCTCCCAAAGGCTTCCCCCAGGGCAAAAGGGAGCCTAAGGAGCCTCAGCACCTGAAGGTGTGGGTTAGGAAACTTTTAATTTAATTATATTAAATACTACCATCATGGGGTAATGACATGATCCCAGTTGCATGGCGTAAAATTATGCCAGTAAGATTTCAGCCACCACATTATAGCAATCCAACCTGAATATTAACAGGGCATTAACAGTGGGCCATATTGGGTCTGTCAAGGGTTACCAATCAGACAGTAACATAAGTTAATACTGTAGAAGGCATAGCTTGCTACTCTGACATCTAATATAAGGGTTAGATCAAATAGCATCTATTAACTCTACACACAACTTTTAGGGCAAGTAGAACCACATCCCTTTCAAGAAAAGGATGAACAGGGATTCATTGAACCACATACATTCCAGTACTCCACTGGTCATGATGACTACTCTTTCAGTGGTCTGTATCACAAACCTGCAAGCTAATCCTGGCTGTTCTAACAATACTTGCCAAACAACCTTACACACTGTCATTAATCTTACTCCAACTCTGCAGAAACAAAGATGGATAAAAGGAAAGATAAAGACAGGCAATGAATGTGATGACCTGAGCAGAAATGGCATTCACTGTGTGTTAATGCCAACCAGCTGCGGCAGAAAGTTGTTTGACAGGAATATGGTGCAAAGGTAGTAACAATAAACAATTGCACTGCTGTTCAAAATCTGCAGTAGAATTGCAAAGAGATACCCTAGAGCAGTGATGGCGAACATCCGGCACGCGTGCCGATACCCTAGAGCAGTGATGGCGAACATCTGGCACGCGTGCCGTAGAGCCCTCTCTGTGGGCACGCAAGCCATAAGTCAATGGATTCATGTCCCTGGCAGCCCAACCTGAGGAGGAGGCTTCAGCCGCAGTGCTAATGACCTGACAGGCCATGGGCCAGGTTCTGGAGCAGCTGGTGCTGGCGGCAGTGGCCTGGCCAAGCTATAGGCAGTGGCGGGGTTGGGCATGACTGGAGGCGGATCCGGAGTGGGGTCTGGAGGCACCTCCGTGCCCGGGATTCCCCCTTCCACCGCCACTTCCACTTCCGCCACCACTGCCACCCACTGGGTTGTGTTTTTTTCTTTTTCTTTTTTCCTTTTTGAGCACTCAGGTTCAGAAAAGGTTCGCTATCACTGCCCTAGAGAAACACTAGAAAGGACAGGTGAATGAAATCTGCTCATATCAGCCAATTACCTGCCATAAGAAGTAAGCCACCCACTTTGTAGGCAACAGTAGTTCACAATTGTCTCAATACAGCCACTGCTTATGTAAATAAAATTAAATTCCAAATTCCATATCAATTGGTGTTACATAGCAGCACAGTGCCTCAGAGGGGGCAACTGAAGTTATTAAAAGTGGTCATCTGAAGTAGGTCAGACACATATCCATTTTGGCTCTAGAGATACAACTCAAGATGCTTGCTTCAGCAATGCTTAACAGCAAGATGCTGGATGTTTGAGAAAATGAACAGGATTGTTCAGTCCCTGCTTAGTTCCCCTTGTTAATCTGGATAACTGTTAATTTAACTTTAATTTTTATAGATTACACTAGTTTGGTTTTATAGATTGCATTAAGATGGGGCCATGACTAACACCTGTGTGCAACACCAAGTAATCTACCAACAGTATGATGGTGACCCATCAATCCATCTTTGCATCTTTCCGCACCACAGAAACTTAACATGAGGTAATGGTGACACATTAGGACTTTTGTTGGCATGTGCACAGTCAGTCTGAAGTGGTTCTCTTCATTCTGAGTAAAGATGAATTCATTTTCTCTTTTGTACCTTCGCCATACTACCCCACAAGATTCCACTTGCTATTTTTTTTCTTATTCTGCAGCATCAATAGTTTCCCAAAAAAGTTTACAGGTGTTAAATGCAAAAATATTTATTGGAATAATTTCCTCATCTTGTTCCAGAACTGATTAACTAAAAAGATAGTTACCACGATATAGCGGATCAAAACCAATGTGGTCAGATTCGACTTCCCCAAGTTCATTCTTGGCTTCCACCCATACCTCCAGATAGACAAAAAAGACAACAGTAGAACTGTTGCAAACATTTTTAGTTTTCTGAGGTATACAGTGATGTAAAGTTCCGTCAGGCCTGTAGTTGAAGAAAGAACGCAAAATTAAATGTAACAAAAAGAATGTAATGTATAGATCCTAGTATTTCACAAACATACAATTGCCTGTGCACAGTTTTCCTAGGTATATTTAATCAGTTGTGAGTCCCACAAAACTCAGTGTGACTTATTCTCTAATAATTGTACTCAGGACTGCAGATTTACTCCTACAGCATTGCATTAAGTAATTGCTTTCTTTGAAACAGTCCTTTTCTATAAGGAAACTTAAATAGAATATTTTAGGGTAGGTGGGGCATCTTCAAGGTAAAGAGTAGACATATCCAGGCTTAGCTCCTGGGACATACCAATCCCTACCCAGCTAAGATGTCTTTCAGGAAAGGAAGATGTTGAGCAAGCGGTGGCAGCCACTGCAGCCATATGAGGGTGAGAGTTAAGAATTCTTTAGTCCCACAGTACTACATTCTGCATTTGCAGAGAATGTTTGTTGATCATATGAGCTAAAAGAAAGTATGATGTAAATTAATAAATAAAGTGTAAAATGTATTTTCTTCTTCTTCATGGATTGCTGCTTCTTCATGGATTGCTGCCTTCTTCATGGATTGCTGCCTTCTTCATGGATTGCTGCCTTGTCGTGGCGAAGGGGCTTGAGTAACTCAGAGAAACTATGGGCTATGCCGTGCAGGGACACCCAAGACGGACAGGACATAGTGGAGAGTTCCGACTAAACGCAATCCACCTGGAGTAGGAAATGGCAAGCCACTCCCAACATGAACCTGACACAACTCAGGGAGGCAGTAGAAGACAGGAGGGCCTGGCGTGCTCTGGTCCATGGGGTCACGAAGAGTCGGACACGACTAAACGACTAAACACACACACACACACACAAAATGTATTTACCATTTAGACTTTAAAGAATAATTGGTGTTCAGGAATGTATCTCTTCCAGGTTCCCAGGTACATGTTTGAATAAATCTGTTTGGTTGTGTCTGAATCACAATGCAACTTAGATTCTTTGGCTTCTCTGGAGGAACTGCATGAAACACAGAACAAATGTTAATCCAGCAGCATGTTTGCATTTTGAGCCAAGAACATGAACAAATACTGCTCCTAAATGTTTAAAAGGTAAGCCCACACTTTATTTTTGTAATCCAACCATTCCAGAAGATCCAAGAATAGTGAGATAGATCCAAAGGCCTGTGCCAGTAAAAGGGTATTTATACAAAGGCTTACTTCCCTCCCTGCTTTTTCTATCAACTCAAAAGTCTCTATATAGGCTTCAGGAATCTCGTACATAGCTTGGCCGGTGGTGCAGGGTGCTGCAAACCATTTATCCCTTTCAACACAGCCTGACATGCACACTTCATGCTATTCTGGTAGAACCCAAAGTCTCTAGAGAGAAGGTGGAAGCACAGAAAAGGGAAGATCCTTTCATGAATCGTTGTACATTAGAGTAGATTCTTGTATAAACACGTTTTACACCAACACAAATTTTGTATACAACCTAGAATATTAAAATTCTAGGTTGTATAATTTATCTAGTCCAAGGAAAGCTCCAATATTAAAATATTGGAGCTTTCCTTGGACTAGATAAATTATACTTAATGTTATGAATGTTAGCTGAGGAAATATTCATGAACATGAAAATTTTTGTTTAATATCTGTTTTGGGGGGAGATGCAAAATCAGAATTTACACTGGAGCCAGGAATCACCAAAAAACCCTATCTATCTATCTATCTATCTATCTATCTATCTATCTATCTATCTATCTATCTATCTATCTATCTATCTATCTATCTATCTATCTATCAGAACAAAACATTTTTACCCTGTACTTCTCCTTAAAAAAGACCCAAGACAGCTTATATCATTAAAAGACAATATTTAAAAGCTAAAAGAAGTATGTATACAAATATTTTAAAAGAATTAAACAAATACCACACCAAAATGGTAAACAAAATCGGTACCAAAAACATGTTCAAAGCAACAATATTAAATGTTTCATATTGACTATGGCAGTAATTTCCTGGCAAATAATTTTAAATATATTTAAGGGAAGATACACGGCCAGATCTCTATCCCACTCATTAATTCTCTTAATGTTTTGGGGTGATTATTGGCATTAGCTTTCCTCCCTACAAAACAGGGCTGCCAGTGGCTCAACCAAGTTTGTGCTGCCACAATGACAATCATTTACTGGTGTCAAGGCACACTGAACTAACAGGGCTTAATCAAGACATTTTGTTTTCTGAGGGGAGGAACAAGATAACCATCTTGATGGCATCCCTTTCTATACTATGTTTTTTTAAAATGAGCTTGATTGGCAATTGAATCTTTCTGCTACATCCTACATAATGGTAGGGCTGGCCCCACAAATTGACATGGTGCCATCTTAGGTTGCACCATTAACCAATGGTAAATGACCAGGTGGACAGTGTAATGTTAAAAAGAGAGAGAGGCAAAGCATATGCTGGGATGGGTGAAGATAGCTACTTCTCTTGTCTTTAAGTTTAAATCTGTGTGATATTTTTCACTGGGATTTGTCATGTAATAAAATCAAAATCATGGAGAAGAACACATAGACATAAGTAGGCTTAGCCAGGATGGAATGGCTTTCAGTCTCACAGTCCTAAACCAGGATTCTACCCTGGAGATGGTTAGAATGCCCCCACCCCATTTCTAAAAACATTGGGGATACTAGGATTGATGCCTGCAAGAGGATCTGTACTCTGTAGAAGCCAGACTTTGTTACTCACCATTTAGGGGGGAAACACCCTTCGTTTATGCTCAAAAATACCTTGTCCTGTATAATTCCATGCTCTTTAACATAATGCTGTGCTGAAATTCTGATGTACCAAGGCTAGGTGAAGGTTCAGGATTATCAGTGCCAGAATATAGCCTTTGTGAGGGAAAAATATACACCTAGTTCTCATTTGTTTGTTTCCCCCTCCCAGAGATCACTATTCCACAGATCATTCAGAGGCATTTCAAGCGCAGCATGGAATATAGTATTTGCAAACTGTGTAAATGAAACCATTACCTTTCTGGCAAGTAGACAGCCTTTAGTGTATCAAGAATGCTGATAAAAAATTTAAAGACATTCAAGCCAAACAATCTGCTTAAATATGGCAGCCTAAGAATATGTGGTATATATCATCACCTCTTATGCTTTGGGTATAAACATCTGTCTTGCTATGTATAAACAACATCTGTCTTGCTATATGAAAAGTATTGTATGAACCTATATTGTAAATTTCTACAAGTTCATATTCCAATTTTCTGAGGAGCCAAGAAGCCAACAGGTTTGAAAGGTTTTCTCAGAGCTTAAATTCCTTGGAATGAGGTTACTGAACACTGGGTGGCATTTTATGATAAATTAATTATTTATGAGAGGTCAAAAAGTTAATTTTAAACAAGTTTTTAAAACAACTCAGAGGCTCTTGTGGCAGGAAATACAACAGAAGAGAGAATTCAGAGAATCTTCTGCCCAGAAATAAGCTGGACTCTGAGACCCTGCAAATGGCTAAGCTGGTTCACTGGCTCATGGACACAGAGGACACATCCCTAACGCCAGCTGATGACACAAAAATGCTAGACAGAACTCATGAACAACAGACATTCTTGCCATCTGGGGATGACCATTTACTTCCGGGTGACCTGTTTGAGGCTGGGGTGAACCAGTGCTTGCAGTCCCGCATCCCAAATGTGCCAGGGAGGAACCTTATACCTCATAGGATTCATCATATCTTGAAAATGGACTGTAAAGGTCTCAAGAGCCACATGGCTTGTGTTAAGCTCATCTCCAGATAGGCCCTATGGAACTCCTTAATGAGAGTTTCATCAATGAAACTTCCTTCTTGTCACAAGGAGGCACCGTGTGCAAACCTGATCCAAGCAATGAGAGGAAACATTCTGATGAGGTAAGGTGGCAATATCTACCCAAAGCAAGTTAACACAGTAGAATGTGCTCACTGAAAAGAATGGGACCTTATTCACTAACATAAGTTACGTTCGTCAGCTCTAGTTGGGGGACTAAAACTGGATTTAGCCCAATGTTTTGTTCACATTTTGAATCTGACATCTTTGTTACTATGTCAGCTGCAAACAAAATGATAGAGCTTTCACAACCTACTTTTGCTTTTTTTCCTGTTCAGCAATTCTTGCAGATATATGGAAGAAAATTCCATTACACGTGTACATCAAAATAACCTTCACTATATCCTTGATAGCAGGACTACCGAGTATACTAATCACAGAGGTAAGCATGTTTAAGCTCCTTAATCTTAGAGTATTAAACTGTCATATTTCAGTGTACTAAATTATTGCTAGTTAGACAGTTACAGTTCAAATGCTTAATAGGATTTAACTTGTTTGTAACTTTTATGTCCTATTTATGGTATTGGGTCCCCTCTGGGTAGGGTTAACATTGGAATTAGCCCAGTGTCAGAATCTGAGTGGTAGAGAACTCACTACTTCCACTTTTATTATTTATTTATTTAAACAGTGGTCTTAGCTGGCTAGATAGGCAGGATATAAATAAAATAAATAAAATAAAATAAATAAAATAAATAAAATATTTTACCCTGGCTTTCTCCTTGAAACAAACCCAAGGCAACTTACAACATTGAAAGGCAAACAAACAAACAAACTTGCTTGTAAAGATACAAAGGTTGAAATCATACTATGGGCCAAATCAGATAACTTGCTGACTTTGTAAATAGAAGTTAATAAAATACTGTCTCTCAAGTGATGGATTTCTTTTAAAGCCCATGTTTATTTCCTTTTTAATCAATTATATAAACAAAAACCAGCTAATTTTCAACATGTAGAGGAGGAAAAATTGTACATGAAACCCCAACGTTGACCCACAACCACAAGCCAATGGATTTCTCACTGTTGTCACACCTATGGCTTATCAAGTACACGTTTACTTTTCTTGATGCATTAGGTTTAAACTCTGCAGGTGAAATGCCATTTCTCTTTAACTTGTTCTCTCTGAGCTATCTGAAATACTTCTACATCTGATATACTACTTATGGTTTCTCTTTGTTTCATATTTAATATATCTGAAAAAATATTTGTCTGTAATTCTTAGTTATTTTCTTTTTTCATTCAAATATTCTAACAAAGCATAAAAACAGTATCCAGAATACTGTAAAAATGAAATCTATAAAGGAGACAAGAAATGAAACATATTATTCTGCAATACACTGTATGTTCAATGTAGAATTTCTAGAATCCCCCCCACAGACAGAAAAGGGAAGACAGAACTACTTACAGCCCAACTGAATCTCAATTCCATAGATATTCTGCTCAATGGTCCCAGCTACCAAGACATTGCAAGTCAAAGGAGAAGGCAACATGGAAATGTCATTAAATGTTACACTAGAAACAGTCTGGTTTATTACATGATATTGTTCTTTAGGGACAAGCACATTTTTGGTTTTCCAAATAATTTGATTAGCATGAATCTTGACATTCGATGAACAATGGTCATTGAGAATGCAGAATGCTGTAAAATTGGAGCCAAAGGGAAGTACCACTGGAGCCTCTGGGAGGATATAGCCACACATTTTTACAAGTCCATCTGAAACTGAGAGAGAGCATTAGATTTGTTTTACTGTTCTTTTAATTACTATTCTCATAAGTAAATTAAAGCTAAATAAAAACAAAAGGCAATTGCCACCTAAAAAGAACATTAGAAAAGAAAACTGTTGATCCCTTTGTGTGAGAAACAGGTTTAAATCCTAAAGTAAATGAATGGAAAGCAAGTTCAGGAGAAAAAAGTTGTCTATCTCCTTCTCCCCACTGCAGCCACCGGTGCCCGTGAAAAGCCTTGTTCAGGAGGATGGAGAACTACTACATGGGATATGGCGAAGAGGCTGTTTCAGGAGTAAGGAATCACTCATACTGAGCAGATGTCTTTGATAATTCTTTTTTAAAAACTTTATTTTAAAAATGCATTTTCAATTCATTTACACCCTACATATTCACATTATACATATGAGCTTTTGTGCAGAGATCTGAAGAAGTAAACCTGTCCATGAAAACTCACATGAATGTATAGCAGTTAGTCTTTAAGGTACTGTTGCGTACCCCCAGTGACCTGTGTGTTTTGCCTCTCCCACAAGTTCACCTTTGGACACAACTGGTTCTTTTCCCTTTTATTCGCTGCCACCAGAGGATATTATCCTCACTACAGTGGTGCCTCGCATAATGAGCGCCCCATTTAACGACGAATCCGCATAGCGATGCGGATTTTGCGATCGCAAAAGTGATCGCATTGCGATGTTTAAATAGGGAAAACATCACATGGCGATGATTGGTAAGCGTTTCGCTTACCGATCTTCGCATTGCGATGTTTTAAAACAGCTGATTGGTGGTTCCAAAATGGCCGCCGGAAGAAAAAATGGCTGCCCGCAGCGTTTTCGCGCAGTTTCCTCGCTTACTGAGGCGGCGAAAATGACGGCCATATGGAGGATTTCCGCATAGCGGTGAGTTTTCCTCCCATAGGAAAGCATTAAACAGGTTTAATGCGTTCCTATGGGGTTTTTTGCCCCGTATAGCGACGTTTCCGGATAGCGACGATTTATCCGGAACGGATTAACGATGCTATGGGGGGCACCACTGTATAGCAATTTGCTGCCAAACAAAACCAGGTTTATTTCAGGATAAATAAGTGAATCACAGAAGGAAAATCATGGGTGTTCTATTATCATTCATTCATTAAATGTGTATTTGATTACTTGTAAGATTGCTTGTATTCATTTACTTTAATCACGTTCTCAATATATGCTGCATGTCTATGTGCTTCTAATTCCTTTTAACTCTTTAATAATCTCTAACACACCAACTGTCTAATATCTTGTCTAACCACTTCTCAGTCTTCTCTCTGTCTAAACACTTCACCATCTTTTCCCTAACTCGCTCCCTGTCTCCCTCTAACTGCCTCTCTGGTACTCCCAGTTCCCTTTACTCCGCCCCTCCTGTCCTGTCATAGGCTCCTGCACTAGAGCTCTAAAATGACTGAATGGAGTGACATGTGGGCTATCCGCCACAGGTGCCATAATGTTTTTGTCAAGCGGTGAAGTTAAGGGTATGGGATATTGAACTACATGAGCATGTTGGCCAGTTAGGGAAGTCTAACTTTCTTAAGAAAGCTGTTTTTATCATCTCCTCGTATTTAGATAACACTATTTCATCTAAACCCATAAAGGCTTTTACACTAACAAGGCTCAATGTACTACCTTCTAAGCTTCTGGAGGGAAGATTTCCAGGTTTGCCTACATCAGATTGTCTCTGCCCTTGTAATAGTGATAAAGTTGAATCAGTTAGTCATGTTCTCATTTTCTGTACTTGCTATTGGGATCTATGTATGGAGCTTTTACTATCTATCTATCTATCTATCTATCTATCTATCTATCTATCTATCTATCTATCTATCTATCTATCTATCTATCTATCTATCTATC